AAAAAAAGAGAGCAATAATGAAACTATGCTATTCAGAAATATCCCTGTGGGTAGATTGAACCATGAGGGACAACAAAAATTATCAGATTTCTATGTTTCGATATTATTTACATCACATGAAATGAAATGCATGAGAATGTATTTGTCTCATTCATAAAAAAAAAAAATAACAATAATAATAATGTATTTGTCTCAAAGAGAGCAACCAAAAAGATACAAGCAGACTAAATTTTGACATACAACACTGAAAGAGGTCGATGCAAGGGCAAGTCTACGAGTGAAGAGGAGGAAAAAAATAGACGAAAAGGGTAAAACAAATGAGGAGAATAGTGTCATTGTTGCTATTGATATATAGGGAGATCAAATTTTGGTTGCTGGTTAAAACTTGGATCCACTCCTCTTGCAGCAATGATGCTGGTTGAGGCCCCTTCTTCAATCTCACTTGCCATATTCAAAAAGTAGCTGTGCCTGCGCAAACAAACCATTTACATTCTTAGATGTGATCCAGGAAAAAACTGACCACTATCATGCAGGATCACAAGATGAAAAGATCCCTTTTACCATCTAGTATCTGCTGTTAATTCTGGATGGAAGGCAGTTCCTAGTAGGTTCCCCTGCCTTACAGCTACAATCACTTTCTTTTCGGGCACGGCACTCTCCTGAAAAATTAAAAATTAGATAGTAATAACAATAATAAAGACTACAAGAAGATATTATACAACAGATATAAACCAATTCTTTCCACAACATGATATCTTTGGACTGTAATGGTCCACTAATTAAGTATTACCAAGGCCATCAATGATAGAAGCAAAAGAATGTTATAATGGTCCTCAAACTGTCTTATCTCTTTGCATTCATGTTTTAAAAAGCATGGATGATCAAATTTTGGTTCCTTCACAATTTTCTTGTTACACTTTTCAAGGTTTGTTCACCAGTCTGCCCTGAATATATGGTGACTTGTTTATATAGGCCATTTCAGTTTTGGATTGGCCATGATTTATGTAGTCCTGGTGTTATTGAAGATGTTTTATTTAGATTTCGACTAAAATTTTAGTAATGTACCTCAACAAAGCATTGATATTACAAAATTCTGAAAAAACAATAAAATATCACATCAAAAAGTCCAGAATCAAGAGGAAATAACCAACCAAATGATCTGCTGTCACATTTGCAAGTTTTTATGCCAGGTAAGAGAAACATTATTCAGAAAACTTACAATGAAGTTTTACATTGAGACCAGTTTTCTGACTTTTTCCCTACTATTGTACAGAATTAAGATGACTAAAAAAACAAAGTAAATAAACAGAGGATATCTTATTATCTTCTCCTTCTTGCACTCAATTTCCTTCTACTGTCTCCTCAAAAATATTGCCTTAGCCCTAGAGATAGATTGTATGATTTGTTAAGGTGGTATGGTAAACATGAAACATATTGGATGTTCAACCTCTTTGACCACTATTGAACTTTCAGAAACAGATTTTGGGACCATATAGAAAGAGGACAAAGGGAAGAGCAATTTTCATATCCAGACCTATTGTTAGGAACAAAGGTAAATGTTATCTATTTACTCTACATTACTGCCAGATGTAAAAATTCAATAACAGAAGAAGAAGAAAGCAAACCTCTTGTATTTCAACAGAAGAACTTGAATAAAGAACTTTATTAGTAGGAACAGGATAGTCAGCCAGCACTTCAACTTCTGGCCCTGCTTCAAGGATTGCAGGAGCACGGATGAAAACACCACGAAATGTCTGAGGCCCACCTTCCTTGGATGCAAGCTTTTGTACTTGAAGATCTGCCTCAAAGCTCTGGATCTGTAAAAACAAGATTTGTTCCAAAAAATGAAACATGCAACATCAAAGAGGGTGGTTTTTTTTTTTTCAAATCTTAGCATCAAAGAGGTTTTAACTTCAGTAAGTATAGTACAATGCCAATAACCATAGTTTCTAAAAAGCATTTTTTATATATTATTTTCTTTCAAATCAAATTCAGAACAAAAAAGGGAAAAAGATCATTGAATCTTTTTAATCATTAATGCCGAGCAAAATACTAGATGTTAATAAGTAGAAGAAAGTTTGTGTGTGTATGAAATGACGGTGTAAAGTGTATCAAACCAAAGCTGTTAAGTTAGGGCTAATAAGAGATTCTGCTTATATTCTTATAAAATCTTTAGAGCAAATTTATCAGCCCTAATGGGGTAAAGCTGTAAAGGAAAATATAAGGTAGCACAAAACCATATTTAGAAATTGAAATCAAAGGATTTCATAAGATACTCCAGGTGCTGCCAGTCTGCAACTGTCAGTTTAAGTTCAGGGCCTCAGTCTTTTATCAGACACCATAGAAATGGGTTTTTCTTTGATCAAACAGACACCACAGAAATGGTAGATGTGCATTTCACGGTTGCCCATGATTTCAATAGTCCTGATGATTAATAAAACACTTAGGAATAATAACAATTAACCAAAAAAGAAAGAGTTCGCAATTACCTGACTGCCAAAGTAGTTCCTATGGACAGTGCAATCCAGGCCACCAATTAATTCCTGCCCACCTTCTTTCTGTCCTGAAAGAGGGAGTGGACAAATCAATCATCCAAATCAAAGCAATTTGCATGCTTTTGTAGCAACAATTTACAACTTACCAAGAAAAACAATTTGCTAAGAAAAGAAAGAAAAGAGCAGAAACCCACCAGTAGCTTTGTTTGCCAAGAATATAAGACCCGCACAAGTCCCCCAGACTGGCTTTCCCATTTTCACAAATTCACGCAGAGCAGGGAACTGAACAGATACATACACGATTTCAGTTAAGAAGTGAAACCCCTTATACTCAAAAGGCCCTGAAAACAATCAAAATGAAAGCAAAGAAGAAGGACAGTGGTTGAAAATTTTAAAAGCATAATTCTTGCAAACTGAACAGAACCCATTTTATCAATCTTCACCATAATCGATAAGATTAACTCGCTCCATGAAACATAGCTTGGAAAAAGCCAGAAACAATAAAGAGATAGACATTACAAGATTATGATACTCAGCGAGCTTAGCCATGGTGGTGCTCTCTCCACCAGGGATGATAAGAGAGCTGATACCCTGAAGCTGCTCCGGCTTCCTTATCTCCACTCCCTTCAATCCAAGCCGCTTAAGTGCTGCACAGAAAGACACAAAAACCCCAATCAAAAACCCATTTACGTGTTCATGTCAGGTTTATAAAAAAACGATGACTAGGAGCAAGACAGAGTGCCTGCGATGTGTTCGTTGAATGATCCCTGTAAAGCGAGGACGCCGACGACGGCCATGATCGATGAACACTGTAGAACAAAAGAGAGACGGGGCAATGGTGGAAAGAAGGAAGAGTCGGGCCTCAGGCTTCTATGGCACTCACTGCTCCTTCGCTTTTCTCCATTTGTTTATTGCAGCTGCCGAAGCATGCCGTGAATCAATTGAATTTTCTAAGTAAAGAGCAGACAGAAGAATTTGCTGCAGTCATTCCCACCCAAAACCAATTACATGCAATTTGTCCTTAAAAAAAAAAATTTAAAATTTTCTGGTTCTGCTACATAAGATTAAAAAAAGAAAAAGTTTTTCTGGTTCTGGACCGATTTTGGACATGCCGTTCCTAAATTACCGGCTCACTAAATCAGAGGTCCCGAGTTAGGCCCAGCCGGTTGTTTACGTAGGAAGGTAGTGGTAAAAACCAATATTTAGTCCCTCACTTTACAAAATTGATAGGTTTTAGCTTATCATATATTATAATATGACAGTTTTAACTCTTTATCTTACAAAATTGATAAGTTTTAGCCTCTCACCTTACAAAATTAGTAGGTTTTAACTCTTACCTTATATTATGATATTTTAAACCTCTCACTGATATAAATTAAAGAAAATAACCCTCATTTAATATCAGATTATAATATTTTATTGGTTTTGTTAGTTGATTGTTAATATTTGTTAGCATTCGGTTATAAAAAACATGAAATTTAAACTCAATTTTATTTTTTAGTTTCATTAATGGAATGCTAACAAATGCTAACAATCAACTAACAGAACTAACACTCACCTAACAAAACTAATAGAACATTATAATATGATGTTAAATAAGGGTTATTTTCTTCAACTCGTACAGATAAATGGTTAAAAGTGTCATAATATAAGATTATGAGTTAAAAGTGTCATAATATAAGATGAGGAGTTAAAACCTACCAACTTTGTAAGGTGAGGAGTTAAAACTTATCAATTTTATAAAATAAAAGGCTAAAAATGTCATATTAAAAGGTTATGAGCTAAAACCTATTAATTTTGTAAGGTAAGGGGGTAAAAATTGGTTTTAACCGGTCGGTAGTGATGTAAAGATAATTTTTTATGTATTATTTAATAAATATATATTTAATATTATAAATTTTAAATAAATAAAAAAATTAATTATTTAATTGATATATAAAATTATT